ACACACACACACACACACACACACAGATAGATAGACAGACAGACAGACAGAAAGACAGACAGACAGGCACACAGCCAGACACACACAGATAGACTCACCGCTCACACAGAGCTGGGTGAAGGAATCATAGGCCGTCTCCGGACCACACTGACAAATCCCCGAGATACACTCACTGTCCACCAGATCACACTCTGTCATGTCAGCACAGGCAGCTCCGAAGCCAGTCACAGCTGGGAATTTTTAGAATTGTTTTAAGTTTATTGGTTTAAAAAAATAAGTTTTAGTAAGAGTTTCAAGGTATTTGAAACAAAAATAGGTCATATCATCATCATCCTCATCATCATTGAAAGCCCCTGATTTAAATAGTATTTGGTTGTGGAAGAATCTGCTGATAGATATTACTTTTTGGCTTTCCTTCTGTGTCGTCGGTAGCCTAGTGGTTAGACTACCGGACCCACTATCGTGAGATTGCAGGTTCAGGGGTTCGAGCCTCAGCTCGGTCCGATGTTGTGTCCTTGGGAAAGGCACTTTACACGAATTTCCCTTTTGGCTTGGTCGTTTTGAAGATGGACGTTGAACTCGAAGGTCACGTTCCTTAAATAACCTAAAAGTGGTGATAGGATCGTTATGCCTATACCATTTCACCTTTAAAAAACCCAACAACTTTTCCTTCGTTGTTTTTGTCCAAGTGATTTACTTTCCCTGTGCTGTTTCTGTCTGTCTTTCTTACTTTGTCCCCAGCAATAAATGACCTTTATTTTGTTGCTGTGCTTCTCTTTACTCAAACAAACAAACAGGCTCGTGTCGGCTTTGATGGTGTAATTATTACTCTCTTTGAACGTGGGTGGTTAGCGGGTGCTCATGTGTGGTTTGCTTCTTTTTTCCTATCAACCATCTATCGTCCTTATCTCCCCCTTTTCTTTTTTATGTTTGTTACTCTCTTGTAACACCCCTAATCTTCTGGCGCTCATATGACCTTATGCAGTTGCCAGCGCCGCAAAACCTCTACTAAAACTAAAACTAAACTCTTTGAAATTGTGTGTGCACAAAAGGCGCAAGTTTGAGTCCCGTATAGTGAAATTATTTTGTCAATTAGATGTAGTATTTCTGTCTATATATTGGGATAATGTATGTCGCTCAGCCCCAGCTGGGCCTGGCTGGAAGGATAGAAGCAACCCGCCGCTTCATAAGTGATTCAAAATAATAATATTATGTCAAAACTGATGTAAAAAAAATATGACAGGAATGGGTGACTTGCTCTTTCTCAGCACTACAAAACAGGGCCTATGTCAGAAAAGCGGGTGGTTGGAGGGCGTCACTGGTTGGTCTTATTTCTTTACTTTCCTTCGGTCTGTCTTATTTTTTCCGAATTCCCAGCACTAAATGGACACTAATTTGTGTCAATGTGCTTTTCTTTACTCAAACAAAAACATACATGTGTCAGAGCTAACGTTCGCGCATCGAGGGTTCATTGATTTCAACCCCAAACTTTGCTGCCTAGTAGCAGAGGCAAAATCAACGAGGAAATAGCCT